GGAAGCTGGGAAAATTGAAGGCTGGCCCTAGGATGTTGAAATGATTTTACAAGGAAAATGCTTTTATCATTTACCTGAGAAACGGTCTTCTCTTCCTTTTTTTCTAAGTTGGGGAGAGAATTTTTGTCCACGGTGGAGGGAAATGGTGACAGAAGAGTCCATGTGGCACACACTGCAGGGCCAGCAGAGGCCTGCACACTGCTGGAGGCTTTGGCCGGAAGGCCTGCCTTGTCCCTCATAGGAGTCACAATGGCAGACAGGTTTAACCATGGGAATGCCAAGAATGAAATGTTATAGTTATGCCTGCACCCACAGGGTTCTCATAGCAGTCTGTGTGTATATTATATATATATATATATATATATATATATATATACATATACATATACATATATATATATTTTTTTTTTTAAATCCCCAAATGAGGGCTGGGAAGGTGGCTCAAGGGTAGAGTGCTTGTCTTGCATGCATGAGGCCCTGGGTTCGATTCCTCAGCACCACATAAAAGAAAAAGCAGGAAGTAGTGCTGTGGCTCAAGAGGTAGAGCACTAGCCTTGAGCTGAAGAGCTGAGGGACAGCGCCCAGGCCCAGAGTTGAGGCCCCACAAATGACAAAAAAAAAAAAAAAAAATTCCCCAAATGACAAAAAATGAAACAGACGTCTTCCCTTTACTACAGCTATCCTTGGACTCCAACATTCAGATTTCAACCCTAAAGAAGCAGAACCAACCAGAACATTCTAGTTGCTGTGCATGGCAAGCATCCCGGTAAAACCCTGGCAGATACTACTGATTACACATCTTCCTGACACTGTCATATGAGGGCAAAGGTCCTTCCAAAATGGATGTTCCAAAACTCACCAAGAAAATTCTCAAGAAATTCTTACCTTTAGGCATTCCTTTGAGTAGCTGCTAAAATTCCATTACAGACTTGAGTTTTTCCTTACTATGTTTTAAAAGAGTTCATTTCCCATCAATACTCATTGGTATCTTTAAAAATAACATTTTGAGAAGCTTCAGCTATCTAATTAAAAGCCTTCTCCGAAACCACAGTTAAGTTTCAGTAAGTGATTAGAAGCTACAATCCAACTCTCAATATTCATTAAAATAAACCACATAGTTTCTTCAGTCCTTCATTTGATAACATAAGAGTAACATAATATTCTTTGCAAGGCAACAATAACACATTCACCCCTAATGAACCCAACTATGGCTTTGTCTGTGCCTGCACTCAATAGATGACAAACTGGAGAAAGTCACAGCCTAGGGAAGAATAAAACCCACAAATGCATGACCACAAACCTCAGATGAGTTCCTGTATCATGGTCCAAAGGTTCATTTAAAATCCTTCAGAAGGGGTGACAACATCCAAACAAAAAAGAAATGTAGTGGGTACTACCTGATTACAAAATGGTAACCCCTTCTGTGAAACACCTGAATAATAACAATCAACTTACCTTCTCTTCCACTTCTAGCCCTCTAGTACCCTTCCTTTCACACAAGCCAGAGGAGAACAAGTCTTTCCTCTTCACAAAACTTAATCCATGCACCAATTCCATCTGCTGATTTCCATCCATCCTGACTTCCTTTCCTCTGCTTACTAAAGGGCTGTGGACCCAGCTCCCAAGCTAGGTGCTCACAGGAGCCTGAGACACTGACTGCTCACGCCTTGTCCTAGATTCTGCCTCCCTCACGTGAGACTCAGGTGTTGTCAACAGGAATCTCCTTCTGCCCCTTACAGACTCTGGGGCCTGACAGACTCTACTTGCTTACCTAGGGTAGGCTCCTCTCCTTCCCTTCTGGGCCAGTCTTTCTGACACAGTGGGCCATTCCTGCTAACTTCTGCCTGCTAACACTGCTTTTCAGTCACTGCTCCCAGCAAATGACCTTCATAATTTAATCCAACAAAGTCAACATTTTACCAGAACCACTTCCTACTTCTGGCATGTATTTTTTTCCCTTAGTGCCTAAGAGAACATACTTGGTTGCTTTTATCCTACGTGCCTGTCATTCCTCTCTCTAGACTTATTGTCCTTTATTTTATCCATAAATGTGGGAGTCCTCTTCTAAACAGTCCTGCTCATGGCAATCTTATTCTGGCTTCAACTACAAGAAAATAAACAGATATATTACCCTTAGAAACGGGTTGATTGAGGTAACTCCTTTATACACTACTTAATTATATATGTATATATGTATGTGTATATATACACACACACATAAACACACACACACACACATATGTAAAGGTGGGAATCAGTGGCTCATGCTTGCCATCCTAGCTAGTCATGAGAATGAGGATTATGGTTTGAAGCCAGCCCATGCAGGAAAGTCCGTGAGATTTTTAACTCCAATTAATCAGCAAAAAGCTAGAAGTGGAGCTATGGATCGAATGGCAGAGTGCCATCCTTGAGCGAAAACGCTCAGGGATAGAGCCAAGACCCTTAGTTTACGCCTCAGAATGACACAAAAAATAAGTAAAACAAACAAAAAACTAAGTTGAAAATAAACACAATTCAAGATAGAATTGGGGGAAGAGTGAGAGAGAGATCAATCAGAGCAAGTACTCAGTACTCGCTGGTACCACAGGCCCTGTGAGCCAGAAAATTCCTTGCTGTGAGGCTCTCTCCAGTGAACCCTACGATGCTCTAAGTATCCCCCTTTCACTTTACTAGATGCCAGTTAATCCCCCCACCCAAGTTGTAACATTCAACAATGGTACCAGATATAATTAACTGTCCCCTCATGGGACAAAATTTCCTTCAGTCTAGAGAATTCAGGCCACACACAATTTTGACAGAATCAAACTCCAGAAGTAAAGAGCCTCCACCTAAAAATCCACTACACAGGTTCCAAACTCTGATGTGCAAACTAAAGAACATGAGCTACAGGATCCAATATTCCAAATACAAAACATAGATCAATAAAAACACAAACAACAAAGAACATTAGTGCTCACTGAAATGTGAAAGTCTGGCTGGAGCAAAGAAGGAGTAATTAAAAAAAAAAAACACAGTTCAACATGTTGAGAGAGATTGCTAGAAAGAAAGAACAGTCTAAAAATATGACATGCCAATTTTTGCCAGTGCTCAAGGAAATAAAGTCATAGTTCCATTTGCTATTTTCCTCTTTTAGATGCCATCTGGCAAAGCCACACTTCCACTAGAAAAGAGTTCTACCCAGGTGGACTAAAATAGACCATATACCACTCCATGTGTCAAAAATATGCCAGCGAGTCTGAGTGTGTTCAGTCATGTCCCCAAAAGAAGACACTCGCGTCCTTAGTAAACAGAAGTAAATACCTTCCGGAATGTTTACCCAACTTGCAAGATATCCCACCTACTTCAGGGAATGTAAGATCACAAAGTACTAGAATCTGGGTGCCAATGAAAAATAAGTTTGTCAGGTGCTGGTGGCTCACGCTTGGAAACCTAGCTACTCAGGAAGCTGAGATCTGAGAATCATGATTTGAAGCCAGCCCACGCAAGAAAAGTCCATCAAACTCTTATCTCCAATGAATCACCAAAAGGCCAAAAGTGCCACTGTGGCTCACGTGGCTGAACACCAGTCTTGAATGGAAAATGCTAAAGAACAATGCCGAGGCTCTGAGTTCAAGCCCCAGTACTGGCACAAAAAGAAAAAAAAATACAATAGTCTCTCAAACTCTGTGAGAATAATTCAAGTTTTCAATTTTCTCTATTAACTTTGATTCTTGGATATTAGCTCTTCTAAAGGTGAGGGGGGCTGAGTTTAGTTTATGTCTCTTCAGAGTACTGCTTTTCCCATGTTTGATGGCTTGACTAGAATTTCTGCACCAGCACGGGGACTTTGTGCCTGCCAACCTGCTCTCTTTGCTGGGTACTTGTCAAAGATCTGAAGACACAACTTGCATTTCTATGCTGGTGCATAGTGCTCTGCTGGCCTTTGTTTTAGTTTACACATGACTCTAAGTACTTGGAACTTTTATGACTTCTAATGCTGGAATAATCTTTAAAAGTACATGATTTTTGGGGTGTCTTATTTACTTCCAGCAAAAACAAAAAAACAAAAGCAAAACAAACAAAAAACCCCAAAACAACCTAGGATCTTTCTGTTTTCTGTCTGGAGCACAAAAGTGACCATCTGAACATGCTGAACAAGTAAAAACTTCCAACCTCACAAAACCAAATGCTCGTTGTCTGCACTGGGAATGGCTTCCCCTCAGTCATGGCTCACCACTTCACTGCCTTCCAATTTCCCACTTAAATACCTTAAATATCTTTCCTGACAAGTTCCTCCACCCACCCTCAAACTTCCAGTTACGTCCTTGGCTTCAGTTCCCCCTTCCCCTCAACTAAGATTAATCTATCACTAGTCTCCTGCAGTTCTTTACCCCACTCCACCCCACCCCACAGGATCAGAAGACACGAGAAGATGCAAAGAGCAGAGATCCTTGTAATCAAGAGTAAAAGCCATGTAAACATTTAACTTTGTGGATTTTAAGGAAGGAGACAGGACTTAGTACCACAGTGGTATGCACAGAAGGCTGAGACTAGAGGAAGACGAGCAATCATTTCAGTGAAAGCAAGCTCTCACAGTAGTCTGTGACAATTCTGTCAACGTGAAGTACCCAGACCAGACCAGCAGCAGGACTGCTAGAAGCTTCTGGCAGGGAAGTGTTGTGGATTATTTCATTCATTCCTTTGTTATTGTTATTATTTCATTTCTATTGTTGGTCATGGGGCTTGAACTCAGGGTCTGGGCTTTTTTGTTCAAGGGTAGGCTCTACCAATTTCAGCCACAGCACCAGTTCCAGTTTTTAGGTGGTTTGTTGGAGTTAAGAGTCTCAAGGACTTTCCTGCTGGGCCTGGCTTTGAACGGTGATCCTCAGATTTCAGCATCCTGAGTAGCTAGAATGACAGGCATGACCACCAGCACCCTGCTCAATCATTATTTCTTCACACCAGCAGGACAACAGGAACCCAGACATCAACTAGAGAGGGAAGCCAGGGACACAGCTTACTTTTCGTTTCTGCTCTTGGTGCACGGCTGGTAGAGGACCTTAACAGCATTCCTGGCAGAAGTGGAGTCTGTTCGCCATGTCTCTTCCAGCAGTGGGAACTTTGTGACACTTCTGGAACTCCTCAAAGCTTCAATCACCAAACTGTCTGAGTTTAGAAGCCAGAGCTAAAGGCATGGAAAAAAAAAAAAAAAAAACAGGTAGAAAGGCATTCATTGCCAGTGGTAGAAATTTCCCATGACCTCTTACAAGAGAAAAGAAAAAAATCAAAATAACAGAAAAATCGAGGGAAATCATATATATATACTTTGTAAGTAGTGTAGCATCTGAAAAAGCAACCAGTATCACACAGCATTAAAAAATAAACAAAGACACTGATTGTTTAAGAAATAAATAACAACCTATAATGTATAGAGCGCCTAGAAATCAATATGAAGGAAAACTAATCTAACAGAAAATCAGGCAGAGAGGACGGCAGTTTCACCACATGAAGTACTTAAATAAATAGGGTTGAAGTAGTCTGTTGGCAGGTAAGAAAACAGGTGAAACTGCTTTAAGAAGGGGTGGACTAAGGGAGGGTGACAGGTGGTGACAGAAACGTCAAATCAACCGCCTTGTACAACTATTGTATGCTAATGTGCCACTAGGGCTTGAATTCAGGGCCCTTGTGCTCTCACTTAGCTCCTACCATCAAGCCTGGTGCTCTATCACTTGAGCCACCTCTCCTCTTCCTGCTTTTTAGTGATTAACTGTAGATAAGAGTCTTAGACTTTCCTTCCCAGTCTGGCTTTGAACCACAATCCTCAGATCTCAGCCTCTTGAGTAGCTAGGATTGTAGGTGTAAGCCTCTAGTGCCCGGCTAGAGACATCAAGAGGTAATTAAAAACAACAGAAGCAATAAAAACAAAGTTAGGGATTTCAAATGGAAAAAAAATGAGGTGAAATACTGTCATACTGATCAAGAAAAGCTATTAAAAACTGAGAATGAAAAATCTTTTTCTTGTGGTATGATTTTTTTTTTTATTCTTTCCTTTTCTTCTTTGGTGAGATGGGAGTCTCGCTATGCAGTCCAGGCTAGCCTTGAACTCTCAATCCTCTTGCCTCCACCTTCCAAATGGATGCTCACTAGCAGGCCCCAAGAGAGTTTGTTTCATGGATTAAACTGATAGTAGAAATGTAATTGGTGCTCAGTTAGGAAGGAAAAAATTTAAAAAAAAAAAAAAACCTAAGAATTTCTGAGATCCTGAACAAAAAAATGAAGAAGAAGAGGAGGAGGAGGAGGAGGAGGGGGAGGAGGAGGGGGAGGAGGAGGGGGAGGAGGAGGGGGAGGAGGAGGAGGAGGAGGAGGAGGAGGAGGAGGAGGAGGAGGAGGAAAAAGAAGAAAGAAGAAGAAGAAAGAAATTAGCAAGTGGAATAATTTCTTACCAGGATAAACACTCTGCCATCCTGACCTTGAATCAGGAATCTGAATGTGCTCCGGGCAGAGGCCAGCTCCCCTAGACGCTGGCCAACAATGCTCTGGACAAACTCAGACCTGTTGGGAGAGAGGGCAGTTTTTTCATCCTGTGCCTCCCATAATCACCTAACTCGCAGCAGAAGCAAAAAATACTCCCAGGGCACCCACAGGCAGAGACCACATGTTTTTGTCTGCTGACCATTCCTTACCATCTTCCCTAATATGGATTTCAGGAAGTTGTAAAACCTGTTCTGTGGGTATTAATGTATTTTCCACCCCAAATCAAACAATTCCCCCTACTGAACTTAAAAACGGCCAGGCTGGGCACATCACTATTTCATCTGTTCTGTGACATACTGAACATGAATCACAGAGACACTGAAAAACGCAAGAAATCTCCCCAAATAGAACATGTTCAACCACAATATTGTTTTCAATAAATACCCATTAGAGTAAACTTCTGTTTGCAAATAAAAATGATTAAAAGAAACCTTAGTATAAATATTTAGTAGAATTTTATTATAGATATAGGGTCGTTATTTGAACTGACCTCAGTTTAAAATTCTTAAACATGTCAACATAAAAATAGATGTAATTTTTCAAGCACTTATTGAGAGTTAGGCTACAATATCTCGCACATATAAGGATTACATTTCTATGAATACAGTTGTCTATATCAAAATAAAGAAATCCTACATCATTTACATATGTGGTTTAACTAGCAATCTTTCTCAAAGGCTTTTTTCTCCCACCTCTCTAGATACAAAAGAGTTAGGAATAAAAATGAGTAGCTAGTTATACCTACAGTTCCCCACATTTGAAGTTTTCTGAAATTACTTTTATTATCTTCAGTTGTGCAGAGCTCAGTGGTAAGTACTGCATCCTGATGGACGTCACGCCTCCCATCATCCCCCACTCAAGTCAGGAAATGAAATCAATTTGCTATTTGTACCTTGGTATGACGGGAAAACTTCTCTCAGATGGCTGAATAATTATCTCGGTCATATAAAACTTGGTGGTTTCTAGAAACAGAAGAAATTTAAAATGTTCCCAATACACCAATATTTTATTATGTGAAGATTAGCCTCAATTATGACATACCAAACTACTTTTCCTGAGTGAAAACTCAATATACTGGTCAAATAGTATTGAGCAAACATTTCCCCCAAACAATTTAGTTACAAAGACATGAACGTAACTAGTAGAGGTTACTTGCAAGTCTGTCAACCGTAGGGGATTTGTTTAGAAAAGCTTGTAGATCCATAGAATCAGATTCTGCCCACAAGTGGAAGGCTATTAAAATTACCATACAATGGTCACCAAATCTGTTTTTCTGGTTACTTAAGTAACAACTATGTTGGGTTGTTTAAAAATTTATTTTAAGTGCTTAATTTCATTAGAACAAAGGAAATACAAATCAAAATCAACTTTTTTGTGAGTGTGCTGGTCCTGAGCTTGAACTGAGGGCCTGGGTGCTATCCCTGAGCTTCTTCTTGCTCAAGGCTAGCACACTGCCACTTGAACCACAACTCTACCTCCGGCTTTTTTGGAGTAGTTTGTTGAAAATAAGGAATCTCACAGACTTCCTGCCTGAACTGGCTTTTGAACTGGGATCCTCAGATCTCAGCCTCTTGAATAATTAAGATCACAGGTGGAAACCACCAGTGCAGTGGGCAGCTTACACCTGCAATCCTAGCTTCTCAGGAGGCTGAGATCTGAGGACTATGTTTGGAAGTCAGGAACAGAAAATCTGTGACACTCTTATCTCCAGTTAGCCAGCCAGAAGCTGGAATAAAAGTACGGCTCAAGTGGTAGAGTGCCAGCCGTAACCATTGGATACACTTGCAAAAACAGATAGACATAAATAATCACACACAGCATTTAGAACTGTAAATGGTAAGATTTCTAGGCAATCACCTGGCAAAGCATTAATGTTGTATACATATTTTGATACTTTAAATTCTGAATAATTTATCTTGAATACTCATAAAACAGACAGAATACCTATAAATATGGTCATAACATTAGTAGAAAAATACTCAAAACAGATTAAAAATTGAAGCTGGATTAAATAATTAGATATTTCAACAACAGAATACCATGCATGTTTGACATTTTAGAAAGGCCAAATTAAAACCAGAAATAATGAAAATGGGTTATCTTACAAATGATGTTACCAAATAATTATTTAATAAGTCAGGTAGATTTTTTTCAAGTTCCTCAATATAATATACAAAAAGGACAAAAAATAAAATCAGGATAGTAGGGGAAAAACAAAGGAGGGGGGGTAACAATGCTTGATAGCAAATATCCTCATTATGTTACTCATGTAACTGTAACCCCTCTGTATAGTATCTTTACAATAAAAAATATTTGTAAAAAATATAATAAATAAAAAGCTTAATACACGACTATGTAGAAATGTACTTAGTTGTCCTTTTTTTGGGGGGGGGGGGGGGTCGGTCGTGGGGCTTGAACTCTGAGCCTGGGCGCTGTCCCTCAGCTCTTCAGCTCAAGGAGAGCACTCTACCACTTGAGCTACAGGCCACTTCCGATTTTCTGGTGGTTTATTGAACATAAAGAGTTTCCTTCCCCCCCCCCCCCCCCCCCCCCCCCGCTGGGTTTGAAATTCGATCCTCAGATCTCAGCCTCCTGAGTAGCTAAGATTACAGGAGTGAGTTACTGGTGCCCGACCCTTATTTGTCCTTTAAGTTCTGCCAATTTTTGCTATTTTGAAGTGATATCAGTAGATGTAAAATTGAACCTGTTAACATTACAAAATGACCTTTTGATGTCACATGTTGTTAATCTATAATTTAATTCTATAATTTCAATCCCATTTGAACTATGGTGGTTTTTATACAAATAATATTTACTTGAAATCATCCACATGGTCCTACTTGATCTGTCTTTCATGTTTCTTGAACTTTCTGGGGTCATTTTCTTCTACTTGAGTACAAGTGGAATTTCTCTTAATAAGAAAGCAGAGTGAATTATTACAGTTATTTGCTAGAAAATACATTTATCTCTGCCTCTCTGGAGGATATTTTCAGTGAGGACGAAGAGCTAGTGCTAACAGTTCTTTCTTTGTTCCCAGAGACAATATCATTATACTGTCTTCGCATTTCCATTACCACTGCTCCTGTGAAAGGGACTGGTGTTTTTTTTGTTGTTGTTGTTTTTCCTAGAATGCTATGAAGGCTTTCTCTTTGCTTTTCATCCTGCAGTTCTACATTGACATGTCTAGGTATGGCTTGCTTTGAATTTGTCTTGCTTGGGTTCAATGAATTGGAATTCATTGTGCCTCTTGGATCTGTACTGAAGTGTTGTTGTGCATTATGTTTATAAAATTCTCAACAACTTCTTGTTCACATACTGCCCACTCCATTCTTTTTTCTTATTTTCTTTTTGGAAGTCTAATTTAAAAAATGTATGTCAGATGGTTTCCTTCTACATTCTATATTCCATGTTTTTCATTTTATCTGTATTTGTTATCTTTTTGTCTCTGGGCTGCATTAAAGATTTCTCAATTTCTTCCCTTAGTGAATTCTTTCAGGCTGTATCTAATCAGTTATCAACCACTCTCTGGATGTATCTTTATTCCAATGATAATAAGGGACTCTTTTAGAAATTCTTTTGCGACTCTTTTCCCAATATACCATTATAGTTTTCTTTTTTGTTCAGTCATCTTCAGATCTGGCTTTTGCACTGTTAAATATACTGAGCACGGTTGTTTTACAGTTTATGCGTGACAATTCTATTTCCACTGCCTGCCTTCTGTTAGCTCTTGTGAACAATGTCATTAGGGTTTGAACAGGCAGTGTCCCTTCCAGGCTCATTGTGGAAGAGGACTTGGGCCCTAGCTGGTGGCATATTACAGAGGATTCTAGAAACATTAGGGAGTGGGGCCTAGCTGAAGTGGGTGGTGGCCTTTGGGAGTGGTATCAGGTCCCCCTTTCCCAGGAGAAGGACCCGCCTCTCATGGAGCACCAGGGAAGGAGTTTGGCATTATTACTAGTTAAGCATCTTTAGAGGACCATTAAAGAATGCTAACCCACTGTTAGTGATAACTCTTTATTGAAGTATCCTTACTTTTTATTTTCCCTCATTCTCTTAAGCCTACCGAGATTTGGGAGATGGAGAGATTCACCTCCAGGAGACCGGCAGTAGTTAAGCCTCTCCTCACGCTCTAACCTGGCTTTTTTGCTCAAGGCTGGTGCCCAACCACTTGAGCCACCCCTCCACTTCCAGAATTTTGCTAGTTAACTGGAGATTAGAGTCTTTTATATGTCTGCTCAGGCTGGCTTCAAACTGCAGTCCTCAGATCTCAACCTCCTTGAGTAGCTATGATTACAGGCATGAGCCACCAGTGCCCAGTCTCTTAAGAGGCTTCTTTTTAGTCTCAAAAATGACACTGAACTCATATCCTGACATATGGAATTGTAGCCTCTTTGCAACTACTTAATAATAAAAATCTAAAAGAACACTGAGACAACCATGCTTTACAACTCATTCAGAGCATGTAACTTGTCAGATTCTGATGATTCAAAAGCAAAAAACAAAAAAAACCCACCACTGCCTTGAGTACAGTGTTTCATTTAAAGTCTCTTTAATTAATTATATTAAAAACAATTACTCATTACCCACTAAGCTAACACAGCATGTTGTAGCACTCTAAACATTTTAAACCGTATCTTTAAACACCATTTTAATTACTAGGATTTTCATTATTATAAAAGCAGTATGGCATACACTTCACAGAAAGTATGATTAACACCATTAGGAAAAAGAGTAAGGAACGAAATACAAAACTTAGAATATGTTTTTCTTCCATTTCAACAAGTCCTCTCCTACCTCCAGTCCCAAAGTACAGCAAGTGGTGAACAATAGCCAAGAAAAGCAGGTTTTCTACCTGTGGGCACCAATTCTTCTGACTGAAGAGTTGTACTAAGAGAAAAAACTTCCAGATTCTTTAAGATGTACTCAAGTATAAATTTTATGTTATTGCTTTTCACTAGAAAGAGAATATAAAACACTGGAAATGATCTGACTTCTCACTGCTTAAAACTCCCTACTCTGAGCCTACTTCCTACACTGGTGGCTCACTCCTGTAATCCTAGCTGCTCAAAAGGCTGAGATGTGAGGATCTCGGTTTGAAGCCAACCCGGGTAGGAAAGTCCATGAGACTTATCCCCAATTAGCCATTTAAAAACTGGAAGTAGAACTGTGGCTCAAAGTGGTAGGGTGCTAACCCTGACCATGAAAGCTCAGGGACAGTGCCCAGGTCCTGAGTTCAAATCCCGCAATAGGAGAAAGAAAAAACAAACCTGAAGTACTCTTTAGTTAAAAAGGTCAAAATAGACAAACTTTTAAATATTGTATGAGGCTAATAGATTTCTATCTCTAAAAGCACTGATTCTATGAAACATATTAATATTACACCCTTCCTATACTACTAAAAGCTCATTCTGGCTTTAGAATAGGAAGGAAATCCTTTTAGCTTTTTGTTATAAAATTGTTCTTACCTGGTGACATAGTCTCTCCCAGCGTTACCTTGCAACGCTTACAAATTACTTTGGTATTTGCTTTTGGGTCCTGTAGAACAGAAAAAAAAATGTCATTTAAATGTCATTCAGCTTTTCTTAAAAGGAATATATAATTTTAACATAGTCTCCAGAGGATATATTGAACTTTACATTTCATTCTGCCCTCTACTAAATACTGGGAATGCAGTTAGTTTTGCATATGTAATTCACACACACAGAGATCATTTCTTTTTTAGGGAGAATAATGCAGATTGGATTTTCCAAACCTAGATACTTTTGATAATCCAAATGTTTCCAAATAATCTGAACAAGAAGCAGTATGCAATGCTCAAGTACTTTCAAATAGCCATATAATTTGGAACTGGCTTGTATGTACAGAACACACGAGAATATGACCTGGAGAATATGAACTGGAGCTCATATTATTCTGATTCCCTGGCCAGTGTTACTTACGTAAAAGTAATCTATAACTCACAGCCAGTCATAATTCAGAAGTTAAAAATATCAAACTTGTTCATGTAAATCTATTTCTTTCCATTTAAGATATGCACTGGAAATGGAAAGTTGGGTCATGTTGTGAACAAATTCCTCAAACATTCTTAGGCTTCAAAACTTAGGGAAAGGTAGCTGCTTCCCAGCTCAGGAGGGTGGAGCTGGGCTTTGTGGAGGAGGAGGTGGGCTTTGTGGAGGAGGCTTTGTCAGCCTGCAGGCTGCTCCCCAGCAAGGTCAGGGGGCAGCCAGGGTGCTAGGCATGGCAGGATAGCCAGAACCCCAAGCTCTGTCCTGTCCCCGGCCGGCAGCTGGCTTTATTCATAGCAGCCACCTTCTGAGACCCCTTCCTCAGCAGCAAGAGAATCTCTGCATCTCCAACTTAAGTCTGGAGCTCATCTCTGCAGGGTCTGGGCTGTCTGGGTCCTAAAACATGTTCAAGAGGCCACCAGGCACATTCCTACAGTCAGGGGTATCCACACTAGGCTGGAGACTAAGACATAAGCAGGCTTGTACACAGCTGGATAACTGGGACCATACAGTTCCAGACCATAACTTCCTTTTTCCAGAATTGGAAATTGTAATAGGAACAGAAGATGAGATTGTGCCTGAAGCTGTGGATAAGGAACATGTCTGAGATTATCGGGAGTATGTGTGAAGCACTTGAGGAAGAAACAGATTCTATGGCAAAGCATGAATCTAGGGAAAAATCATTTTCCCGAAGCTTACAACTCAGATAGACCTTGAACCAGGGCAGATTCTATGGCACAGGTATTGATTGAGCGTGTCTGGATTTCTGGTGAAAACATACCACAAGAAAAGGATATTCCAAATTGCCCCTGCGGTGCCAAAAGAATATTTGAATTCCAGGTCAAGCCACAGCTGCTGAACGGCCTGAAGGCAGAGACAGAGGAAGAGCACTGACTGGGGTCTCCTGGCTATGTTCACCTGTACTGAGAACTCGGCCCGGGCACTGGCTACACAGAGGGATTTGTGTGGGAGCAGGACATAACAGACACATCGTGAAGATAAGCCTTATGTCTTCTCATCTCCCAATTCCATCTCAAGGACTTTTATCTCTTGTTCCAGAGATGGAGGCACAAAAATGCTACTTGAGGCATTATTTACAACGTTGTTCTATGTGTTAGTACAAGACTGCTCAGTGACAGGGAATTAAAATTAAGTTTTAAAGTCAGTTTCCATGTCCACAGTGGAAGGAAACTGTTACCATGGACTACACAGACACCAAATAATGTCTCAATGAACATCAGGATATCATTATGGCTGGTACTCATGGTATGGCGTTTTCATTTTTTAAACATATTCACCTATGTATATGGTCATAGAAATAAATCTAGAAAGATACACAAAGTAAACTGGTTACCTATGAATGGTGGGACCAAGTGACATGGTCTTTTTACTTACATGTACATATCTTTCTATAATAAAAATGAGCTATGGGGCTGGGAAGGTGGCTCAGTGGTAGAGCACTTGCCTTGCATGCATGAGGCCCTGGGTTTGATTCCTCAGCACCACATAAGCAAAAAGGAAAAAGCCAGAAGTGGCGCTGTGGCTCAAGTGGTAGAGCACTAGCCTTGAGCTGAAGAGCTGAGGGACAGCGCCCAGGCCCAGAGTTCAGGCCCCACGACCAGACCCAAAAACAAACCCCCCCCCCAAAAAAAAATAAGCTACATGCCCAATAAACTGAAAAGAAAAAGAAAAACAGGAAAAAAATGACTAATAGGCAAACAATGGCGGCTCTTTCTCACGTTCATGGTAATGAGTTTGTTAAAGCCATGTAATATTCTATAACCCAAGACATACCTCGACATCAGCAGGCAGGAAGAATTGAGCGGGGGATGACTAGTGGGAGGGGCTGGCCTAACAAGGTGTGTGAATATGGTCAAAATAGATCTATGAAAGCCGAACAGTGAAATCTGGTGAAATTCGGTAAGCGGATAAGGGGAAAGAGAGAGTGATAGAGGGGGCGAGAGCGATTGGAGTATAAGCATGTGGAAACGTAACAAGGAACCCCTCATATCACTGACATAACCTAATTAATAATAAAAATGATAGTAATAATAAAGGGTCGCAGTTCAAAGCTAGCCTGGGCAGGAGAGACTGTGAGACTCCTATCTCCAATAAACCACCAGAAAACCGGAAGTGGCGCTGTAGCTCAAGTGGTAGAGCGCTCGCCTTGAGCTGAAGAGCTGAGGGACAGCGCCCAGGCCCAGAGTTCAAGCCCCACGACCGACCAAAAAATAAAAAAATTAAAAATAAATAAATAAATAAAGGGTCAGAAGCCAGTGGCTCACATTCATAATCCTAGTTAATCAGGAGAATGAAATTTGGGGGATCAGAGTTTGAGGCCAGCTAGAGAAGAAAATTTTGCTATAAAATAATTAGAAAAAAGAAAAAAAAAGCAGAGTTGGAGACATGGGCAAAGTCCTGGGTTCAAACCCTTGTACTGCCCAAAAATGAGGAGAGGGAAACCAGTGGAAAAGGAGTTCTATAACCCTGGACACTTGAAGGAAAAATGGCAGAAAAAAAGACAGAGCAAAGTTAGGAAGGTAATGTCTTTCTGGTGTGGTTAACACATATATTCGTCTAAGGAAAAAGTTGTAACCGTTCAGTGCAAGTTCAGTTACTTCCCTTGGTGTTGACAACTATTTGGGAAAAGGTTACATATGAAGCAAACTGAATTCCATTAACAAGAAGCCGCTAATAATGGCCAGAGGTGATGTTTGAATATAGAACTCTCACATTCTACAGCTTATGCTAAGGGTTTTACAAATTACAGGTCCCGTAATGATGGAGAGAGAGAGAGAGAGAGAGAGAGAGAGAGAGAGAGAGAGAGAGAGAGAGAGAGAGAGAGAGAGAGAGAGTGTGTGTGTGTGTGTGTGTGTGTTATATGACCAACTGCTTCAAGAAACTTTTGTGTTGTGTTTGCGTATGTGTGTATGATCAGATCTTCATGTAAAAATTCCATTTTTTACTAAAGATATCACAGTCAAAAGCAACTCCACAACTTATGTTGGGGTCTTCTATACTCACTCTTTCTTTCTTTCTTTTTGTTTTTTGTTTTTTTTTGGTCCAGGCGTGGGGCCTGAACTCTGGGCCTGGGCGCTGTCCCTCAGCTCTTCAGTTCAAGGCTAGTGCTCTACCACTTGAGCCACAGTGCCACTTCTAGATTTTTTCTTTTTGCTTATGTGGTGCTGAGGAATAAAACCCAGGGCCTCAGGCATGCAAGGCAAGCACTCTACCACTGAGCCACCTTCCCAGCCCCTAACTCACTCTTTCGTTCCCATCTTTACTATCATGTATTATCTGAACAGAAAGGGGAGAGGGTTTCACTGAGCTGTTTCCATGCATTGAAGACTCACTCTTTCATCTAGCCTCAAACTCTTACTATCAGTAAAAATGCAGAAAAGCACCCTCATGTCTCTTCCTCACATAAGATCTCTGGAAGAAATCTCCAGTCAGATAAAAACCCCACCCTATTTTCCCTTGTGTAGCTGCAGGATTTCTGTCATCTTTCTATTGCCAGGTCTGTTCATACCTGGCCCAGTCTCTTACCCAGCACATGCTTGGTGCAGTCCACACACCACGCCATCTCTGGCTGCTGCACTGATACTCTAGTACCTATCACATGCCCATAGCAGGCAGCAGGCAGCAAGCCTGGGGTCTCCCTAGGTATCCCAGGCTGACCCTGAACTTGACCTCTACCTCCTGGACTCCATCTCTTTCAACCTCTCTAGTGCAGGGCACAAGCTACCATGCCTTGCTCATACTCTCTTTTACTAAAGTTGTTTCATTATCTTTAAGTAGTTGTACAGAGGAGGTGGTATACAATAAAACAGTCTATGAATACAATGCATCTTGATCAGTGTCACCCCCTTCAATATCCTCACCCCCTCCTTCAATCCACCCTTTTCCTACTTCTCTTAACTTTGTGGTATATACAATAAATTATTGACTGCAATCTACCCCCCATCACCCTCTTCACCCTCTTCATTTCTCTGCCCTTCTCCACTTGGCCCCACGTACCCTCCTGCAAATACACATTTCCTGGTATGATTTTGTTGGACTTTGAACTCATCTTTCTAAAAGATTATACTGTTTGAGCTCTCCAGAGAGCCTATTACACTTCAGTTAATTCTTTTGTAAACACTTGCATACTGCCCAACATGATTACCTATACATTTATAGGCACATGTTAGCTACCACAAATGAAGGAAACAATGCAATCTTTGTGTCTCTGCGTCTGGCTTACATCACTTAAATGTAATTTTTTTCCAAGTCTTTCCATTTCCTTACAAATGGTTCAGTATCATTCTAGTAGATGAGTAAAATTCCACTGTGTATCTATACCACAATTTTCTGATTGGCATCTGGAAAGATTCTATTCAGTTATAGTGAATAGTACTTCAATGAACATGGTTGTGCTGGTGGCTTTACTGCATTCTGGTTTGTAATCTTTTGGGTAAAAGCCCAGGTGTGGGATTTCTGGGTCATAGGGTAGTTCTACGTTTAATTTTTTTTTTTTTTAAGTAACCTCCGTATGGATTTCCAGAGTGGTTGAACAAGCTTATATTCCCACCAACTGTATTAGAGTTCCCTTTTAACTGCATCCCATAAACATTTGTTGTTTGTTTGATAGGTGCCATTCTAACTGGGGTGAGGTGAAACAGACAAGGACCTAATATCCAGAATATACTTAGAGCTCAAAAAAATTAAATTCTCAAAAATGGAACCTTCAAAGAAACAACAACTAAATTAATAAATGACTTAAAGACAGACTTCATAGTAGTCACAAACATGGCCAACAGACTCGTGAAGAAATGCTCAACATCTCTGGCCATAGAGGAAATGCAAATCAAAACATCCCTGAGATTGCACCTTGGTCTTGTTTCTAGGACTTAAATAGTATTATGAATCTTGTAAAAGGATGAGGTGCATCTTTATTATCCTGTTATAACATGCACACTTTTTAGTATCTTGGTAGGCACGCACGCACACACACACACACACACACACACACACACACACACACACACACACACACACACACACACACACACACACACACACACACACACACACACACACACACACCATACAAGAGATAGCAAACAAGTCACCAAACTAGAGAATTCTTCAGCAGACATCTTTTGAAAACAAAAAATACAAACTGCCACTAGAGGCACAAATAAAACACTCCAAATTCTACGAGGAATGAAGATGAATGAGACAGTGCCAGGTTCTCTCTGTGCTGCTTTTAAAATCAGATCTTTTTAATTAACACACTTTAGCACATTAATTTTACTTAAAGAGCAGCTCTGCTTTGTAATGCATTTTTCTTGACCTGAGCTGCAAGGAAGTAATAAAAGCAAGTTGTATAATGAAGCCCCCTACCAGTGTGGGAACTAGGAGCAGACCTCAAAGATAGACATCGTTGGGAACTAATTAAATCAATATATCTAGGACCTGCCAGTGCTTCTCAAGAGATGAGGAATCCTCTCCTGTCCTTTCTTTTTCTTTTCCTTTGTGTTATTTCAATTTTTAAGGACACCTGATGTCACACACACACACACACACACACACACACACACACACACACACACACACACTTCCCAAGAGATACTATTATGAAGCTGGGTCACCAAGGGACATTTCAGACTCCTGCTAGATGGCTAGACTAGGTGATAGGAGAAATTGGTTTTCAATAGCACGGAAGAGCAGAGGAGCCTCTGGAGCCGACAGGGCAGTGGTTAGGCAGTCTCTCCGAATTTCTGTTGCTATTTTGGTCTCAGACAGACTCTTTCAACTGCTACAACATGCAATTAAAGTACAACTTCCAGCTAGACCAATGTGAAAACAATCTTGTCAAACCACCTCTCCTGATAGCCATTTCCCACGGTCTCCTTGATAGACAAGACTACAATGTCTAAATAGGAAAGATCTTCCTTTCGAATAAGAAATAAAAGACTGCTGCTTACAGGGTACAGTTCTTAAGAATGGCCATGTATAACTGATAAAGTTGTTTGTGTGAAGATTATTTCTAAACAAGGAGACACAGCTTCCCTTACTCAATCTTTCTCCTTTACACCATCAGAATGTGTTGTTAAATGGCTCATATCTTTATTCTTAACTACTCAGGAGGCTGAGATGTGAGGATTGGGGTCTGAAGTCAGCCCAGATGAAAAAGTCCAAGAGACCCTTATCTCCAATTAATCAGCAAAAAGCCACAAGTAGAAGTGTCTCTCAAATGGTACACCTGGAAGCTCAGTGCCATTTCTACCCTCTTTGTCTGTTCCCCTGGCAGTATCTGCCAGTGTGTATATGTGCACGAGTGCATGCGTGTATGTGTGTGACAATCCTGGGCCTTGAACTCAAGGGCTGGGTGCCATCCTTGAGCTTTTTTGCTGAAGACTGGTGTTCTACCACTGGAGCCACCCCTCTACTTCTGGCTTTTTTCGTGTTTGGTTCATTGGAGATAAGAGTCTCATGAACTTTGCTGCCTAGGATGGCTTTGAACTGCAATCCTCAGTTCTCAGCCTCCTAAGTAGCTAGGATTATCGGCCCAAGCTACTGGTATCTGGCAGCATCTTTCTTTATTTTATTTTATTGTTATTGTAAATATACATAGGGTTCCAGGTACATGAATCCGGTAATGAGTGCAATTCTTTTTGAATGACATCTCCCTTTCCTCACTCTCTCCCAGTTTTTCCTTCCCATCCACACCCATAAGATATACAATTCATTTTCCACAATGTCTAGTAGCTACCACTATTGTATTTGTTCACCCTTTGTTCCACCTTAGGACACTGAACTCTAGATTACAGGCAGGCCCAGAACACTTGGTCCTAACTGTAAAGTGAGCACCCTAAGTAGAAGAGCATGTTCTCTTAGTCAGAGTTTTGAGGCTGGCACGCACACAGTTTTGAGGGAGATTTAGAACCATGTGGGCAGCACAGGGAGGGACGGCCATGTGGGGCAGGTGCCACTCCCTCCTCTGGGGACATCTTTAAGGGTCCATAAACACTGGAGCAGAGCCCCACAGGGACAGACGCCCATCCCCTTCAGAGGAGGCAGGTGTGACAAAACCAAGATGCCAGAACAGCCAAGGAGCCAACAGGACTGTCAAAGAGGAACCCTGTAAGCCTAGCCACTGACTTCAGGGACTCACTCCTTGCTCTCTTACATAGAGAACTTCCTGATCCCCTCCCCGGCCCTTTCCCTCTCAGCCCTCCTCTGGGAAACAGAAAACTTGGGTCTATGGGGAAGTACCAATCAATAGTAAAATAATTCCAGAAACAAAAAGGAGGGCGTATAATCTACATGGCCTCAGATTTTACCTGACCCGGTTGGCTTCTTAAGTTCACCAAATAGAAGGTATCTCCAGTGAAGCAGTCACCGTGTCCTGGGTGAAGAGACTTCTGGGTGAACGGGTCCGGGTGGCAGCACCACTCCTCAACCAGGGCTGCCCAGTTGGCGCTGGGCAGTGGGAGCACCCTGAGCAGCCTTCTGCTTGGAAAGAGAGAAGATGTGGTTTCTAACAGGCAAAATGGAACAGCTTCTGAAGTAAATCTTATGTGCAAGATGGAAGGAGCTCTAACACGCTCTTGAGGTTAACTTCTCTCAATAACGAAAGGAGTATGTGCTCACATTGTAAGTTCAAAATCAAGAGGTGCAACCCAGACAAAATCATCCTGACCCCTCAAAGAAAAGTGAATTTGCCACAGGATGGATGGCACATTTCTTATCCTTCTTGAAAGAGGAACATTTATACATGCATGCACACAAAGTCTGAGGTCAGAGGATACATGCATACTGTATTTCGATTGTGTTTATCTAGTTACACCATGATTGCCAATATTCCATTAATGACTACATTGTCTACTTCCTAGCTCTCTAGATCATTCCCCCATTGTTAGATATTTACAGGTAGACTCCTATGAGGAACAGAAAGTGGAGATACAAAGTTTGCACACATCTGATTATTGCTTGGGAAAAACAATCTTGTGTGAAATTCTAAGCACAAGTAATATGAATCTTTTTAAGCCCAACACCCATTTAGTAGACTTCTTTGCAAAAACACTGTACTAATCTGTAATTCTTCCACTTACCCTTTTCTTAATTAAATCCTATCACTTTTCCATCTACAAACAAGTAATGTGTAAAAACATTCTCAATTAGCCATGTTTAAATTACTAGTGAAATTGCACTAGTGTATTTATTGACTACCATGACATTTCTGTGAATTGTGGCCAATGACTCTTTCCCAATGAAGCATTAATATATTATTATTAATTTGCAAAAGTATATGCTATATTAAATTATCCATCCTACTACCATTTGTAATTTTAAAAAAACTTTCCAGGATTATTGATTTAGGTGTTTTTTTTGAGGGGGAAGAAGTACAGGTTTTATACCTAGGGCTATAGTCCAGCCTGGCTTGCTCACTCATCTGGTATTCTATCATTTGAGCCACGCCTCCAATCCCCCTTTTTTGTCATCTTGTTATTTTGGAGATGAAGTCTTGAGAACTTTGCTGCCTAGGATGGCCTCAAATTGTGACACTCTGGATCTCAACTTCCTGAGTAGCTAAAATTACAGGCATGAGCCACCAATGTTTGGCTGGTTCTGGTGTTTTAAACTTCGGATTGCCTAACACTTTCTTCTGTAAATTTTTTTCTATGATTCTATTTTAATGAGCTTTTCACATTAGCACAACTTTAGGTTTTACAGAAAGTTATCAGGACAGGTTGAATGTTTCCTACTTCTGTCTAACCTAGCTTTCTCTAACAGCAGTATCTTATATAATCACGGTGATTTGCCAGAACTACAGCCTTTACACTTTACTAGTCTTTTTCCCTCAACAAAGTCCTGTTTCTCCATGATGACATATCAGTCACACTCTCCCTGTCAGTATTGTTCCAGATGCTGAGCTACCTCAAGAGCACTGGTCAGGGACTCTATTCAACCCCTTTCATTCTGGGATTATCTGATAGGATCTCAGGGCCTTGGGCAGCAATCTGAGATGAGGTGAGGTGCTCACCATTTCACAGGTCCCTTGTTTAAACAGGACTCGCCACTGGGGACAGGAGTCTTGACTCCTGTGCCAGTGATACCTCCTGCTTCTACACTGAAACTAGTAAACAAGGTATATTAGAAGTCTTGGTTTAAAATGTGATTGTACCATTTCACAGCAAATGTGATTTTCTATCTCTCTTTTTAACAATTCCTCGATGTTACCCATTTCTCCTTGGTTCACTGACAGACTGTGACTATCACAAGAGGTCTCATAACAAAGAGGGAACCAACTAATTAATAATTCCAGATGGCGCAGTGAAGAACAAGAAAAGCTGAGTCTAGTGCACTATACAGACCAGGAAAAGCTTGCCCCACTGCCATCTGCCAGGTGGCTGGGTACACAGGACACTGACAAGTGGCTCTTTCCTCGTGTTTCCTCACGTCTGTTGTGAACCAGGCATTATGATGGCCTAAGACATGAAACATACAGTCTCTTTAGATGCTCAGATTTTAGTAGAGAATACATACTTATAAGCAAATGACAAAACCACATGTAAGAGAATGTTCCTTATTTGTTAGGAAATGGAAAGACTTGGAAAAAATTATATTAAGTGAAGTAAGCCAGGCCCAAAGAAACATAGGACCCATGGTTTCCCTTATTTGCAATATCTAGTATATGTCTGAGTCAAGCAGAAAAGGTCAGTTAAGTTGATGTTAGGGAAATGAACTCTAAGATATGTATTCAAATGTTTTTTTTCTTTCATGCGATTGTTTCTAACACATTTATAAGATTATTTCTTTGTTGCTTTGTATGTCCCTCCCCCACAGTATTACCCCTGCTTTCACTGTATTTGATGCTGTTATAATTTGTGGAGGGGAAGGGAAAAAACAAATCATTTAAATAGGGATACAGGTGGACCCATTGCAACAATGAGACGTACAAGTCGTTAAACGAACTTTACAACTTTGGTGGGGGGGGGAGGGTTGGGTGGGGGTGTGGGGGGAGGAGGGGATGGGAAGTGGAAACAAAGGAGGAGGCTACAATGCTTGATAAGAAATGTACTCATTATCTTGCCCGTGTAATTGTAACCCCTCTGTACAGTATTTTCACAATAAAAAAATAATAATAATAAAAAAAGAGAATGTTCCTCATAAACCTGGTGCTGGTGGCTCACGCCTATAATCCCAGCTACTCAGGAGGCTGAGATCTGAAGATCTCAGTTCAAAGACAGCTAAGGCAGACAAAGCCAAAAGACTCTTATCTCCAATTAAGCAGCAAGAAGCCAGAAGTGGAGATGTGGTTCAAGTGGTAGAGTGCCTGCCAGCTTTAAGCAGAATGCATTAACAAAGCGTGTGAGGCCTTGAGTTCAAGCCCCAGTATACACACGTACGTGCGTGCGCGCGCGCAAGGCTCATAGCAGAAGTGAGATTCTAAACTCAGTAGGTACAGGGGTTAAATACACATGATAACATGAGCCCTTTTCTCCAATACCCTATATGCAACACAAGGCCTGTATTTTGTTTTCGGGGACTTGGGATAGCCTGAATTCTTACAGAACCTACTTCTCTAAATTTTGTGCAAGATCAAACACACAAGTGTGAGGACATGAGGTTATATATGAACTTCAGAAAGCATCTGTGCTTAACTTTATAGGAAAAAAAAGGGAATTCTCTAAGCAGCAGGGAGATTTCAGGGCACCCTGGAAGAAAAAAATATGAAGACAGGCTCTGTGTTTATCTCACAACTCAGTTCCTACTCAGTGACACGGCTCCTGAGATCTTTGTTGAAGGAGTAAACGAGCACATTCTAATGACAACAGCCTGTAGGTCCCTCCCTAGCTGGGATGAAGGGCTGACCACCTTTTCCTCTTGCTGCTTGAGAATCTGACCTTTGCTTTCACCGCCTAGCTCTGTTACCCTGGAAACCAGGTAAGATCCTGAGCATCAAATATATTGCTAGGCAACATGGCTTACAGTAAAAAAGGATCCCTGATTGGTAAATTGTATGTGGACTGGAAAGAACTATGAATGAGCTGTAAACATCTGAGGAAGAAGACAGGCTTTCAGCTTCCCTCAATGGAGCCTTTGTGGGAAACCCTAGAAATGTTCACTGCCAAAGAATCATTAGGAAAGAGTGTAGACTAAAAGAGCCTCTGTGGGTCTTGTGTTTACACCTGGAACTGCTTATGTGGACAAACATGGGTCCACTGGTCGGTCAGTGTGTGAGCTGCCACTGGCATGAACTTCAGCAGAGCCCTACAAAAGGCGTGTGAATGCCATGCTGCTTACAGGCCATCACAAGGCGAGGCCTGTGGTATCCCTGAGCGCATGTATGCACCGACAGGCTCACCTGTTACACGAGAGCCAGTGCCTCATGGCTGAAATCCCAGCTACTAGAGAGATCTGAGGATCCAAGTTCAAAGCAGCCCAGGCAGGAAAGTCCGTGAGACTCTTATCTCCAATGAACCAGCAAAAAGCCAGAAAAGGAGGTATGGCTCAAGCACCAGCCTTGAGCAGAAAAGCTCAGGGACAGCACCTATGCTTTATGCCTTGAGTTCAAGCCTCAGAAGCAACACCAAAAAAAAAAGTTTCTCTTCTCTGGTACACCATACACACACCCTCACACCTTTAATGCTCACACCTTCATGAGATTAAGAATTACCATTTCCCAGCTGCACAGGCTCAGTAGTGCTATCTAATCCGTACAAGGTTAGGGAATGAGAGGTGATCAGAGATGCCAGGCCAACTTCCAAGTCTCCCTGCTCCAAGACTCAGTTCTTCCCTCTGGAATCCTATTCCTCCTCCCCTGGCAGCACAAAAAAGCAGTAGTGGAGGTGGAGCAGAGGGGGGAGGTGGGGCAGAAGGGAGAAGGTGGCACAGTGGTGTGGGGGTCACATACCAGCCAGGGGATGGACGTGGAGCTCCTGAGAGGTAGAAAGCCCTGGAGGATTTTAAGCAGGGAAATGACAGGTCAGATTTCAGTGGTTACTAACAAGAGAAGAACGCAAGTTTAGAGTAAGAGGCAGGCCTAAGTGGGCTCCTGGATCCTCCCAACCATTAAGATTCTGTCTCCTAACATTTTGCATGGAGAACCAATAAACAGATCTTCAACAGTGTGCAAAAGAGAGCAGTGCTAAAATCCCATGCGAGATCAAAGAGAAGAAGGGGCTTTCACAGAGCCCTGGGACCCAAGGAACATAACACAAAATATGGTGTTTCAAACTTGATTTGACCGTGACACAATGAAAGCCATAATGCATACTTAGCCATCTACATACGGCATCAGGAGCCAGAAAGTGCCAAATTCCAACAGCACTGCAAAGATAAAAGGAGTTTTACAGCAGAAATTTTTGTGATGTTTGGAAAAAGCACACAAAACCTTTAAGAACAAAAGGTATGTGTTAATCACAGCACCGAGAGTCTATCTACCTAAAACCTGACACATGGCCTTTGATACGATCTGCTTCTCATGGGAACTTTCAAAATAAAAT